GCTTGCTCAGCCTGTTTTCTTACAGAACCCAGGACCACCACCCCAGGGTTGGCACCATCCACTGTGGACTAGGCCGTCACACATCAACCACTAGTTAAGAATATTTACTGCAGGCTTGCCCACAGCTGAATCTTATGGAGGAATTTTCCCAACTGAGGCTCCCTGCTCTCTGATGACCCTAGCTTGCGTCAAGTTGACAGAACACTGCCCAGGATGTAGTTAACCAAACTTTGAAGGAGAAGAGTGGAAACGGTGGGGATTTGCCGAGTCACACAGGTCTTTGTTGTCACTGGGGATTGGCAGCAGAACCCAGTCTGACTAATCCACGGAACTGCACAGGGCACAGTTTCCTCTGCTTTGCCGTGTGGGATTCTGATGACTGTCTGAATAAATTCTGTCTAGTCTTCCAGTTCTATTCACAGCCCAGTTCTCTCAGTGTGCGGATTCCCAGCGGGTGCTGGGAGCGTCCGTGCGTCTCCACTGTGAATGGGTGCTGGGAGCTTCATTCCCACCCCCATCCTTGCTTTCTGATTAGGGAGCTTTGTCCCCACAACCTGGCAGGTGTTCATTGAAACTGTGGGCGAGGCTTGGAGGGGAACACCAAGCTTTCAGTTTCTGCAGAGTTGTGGACTGAACAAGATTTACCTAGTGTCTGAAGTGTTTTTGGACAGTGAGTGAGTGGGTGAGGGACTTTTCAAAGGCTGGCCTTGTGTCAGGCGGGGCTCTCAACTCTCATTTAATCAGGACGTTAAAAGGCAAGTGTAAATAGTTGGGAGTCTAGGGGTGATCCTTACACCTCTGAATGCAGCCTGTCCTAGGTACACTAAGCTCTGTAAATCTTGACCCCCCCATTCACAACTTTGGCTCCTACATGGACCCAACTTGAGCTTATTAGCCAGCCCTCCTAACTAGAGATTGAACTCATTAAAAAAAAAAAGCAGATGAGATGAAGATATATTTTGAGACTATCCAACAATCTTTTGAATGCCACCAATATAAAAAGGTGTTAGGGAGATATCTGTATTCTTTATTTGGCGCCCACTCTGTATCTCGTACAGCACATTCAGCTAGACCCAGCTGTGTCGTCTGGATGGTTCGGTTTGGGGCGTCATTCTTTAGCCTTTGTCCACCATCGAGTGACGGCTGATATACTCAAAAAAAAAAAAAGTCAACAGATTGCTGTCACTGTGGAGCCCAGTTCCGGCACACGGTCCTGTCTGTCTTTCTATTGACGACTTTGGAGGTACCATGGCCGGGAATGCCCGCTCTCTTGGCTCTGTTTCAAGTACAAATGGGAATCGCTGGACACGCCTCAAGGAGGGAAGAGGAAATGTGACACAAAAATGCCTCTGCAGAGCGAGTGCCACAGGCACCGCAAGCCTCAGAGCTCCGGCGATGCCGCTGTCACTGCCACTGAAAACGACGAATCCCTTCCTTCAGAGTTCAGGGTGTGAGAGCACCGTGGCAGCACTCACCATTAAGGGGCTGAGGCCGGAGGATTTGTATGTATTCAAGGCTATCCCGCGCCGTGTAGTGAGTTCTAGGTGGGCTTAATTACAGGGTAAGATCCTGTCTCAGAAAACAAGACAATAAGGGTTCAAATAGCTTTGCCCAATTAAGGCTCAATAAGGCAAATGAAAAATGGTGGAAATCAATATGGAGAACGCTAAAGATACACGTATTCGGCTTTTGTAGGTTTTGAAAGTTTGGGTGTAGACTCTTTTTCCGTTGTAAAACTTCCCTGGAAAGAGATTAAATTATAACTGGATTAAAGCTCACTGTTGTTCTGAATGTGAAGCATCCAAACAAACCTAACGTGGGCTTAAGCTTTGAAAGGAGCCAGCTCACAGTGAGGTGCAGGCGGAAGTCTGGAGCTGCCTGGCGCTTGTCAAATACAGCTGGAGCCTTCTTACACCTGCCTCCCCAGCACGTGAGCATGAGCTGTTGGTGTCTAGAAGAGAGTGAGGAGGCAGAGAGATGACAGACAGTGCCTTCTCAGACAGCTGTAGCGCTTCAGGTTATGTGACCTGGCATAAGTACACTGGAAGGTGTGTGCTCTGGCCGCACCGTGACAGAATGGCCACTCTGACAGCCGCCAAGGCAGACGGCTCTGGTACTGGGCAGAATAGACGAACTGGTGAGAACAGCTAAGTTGTGGGGGGTGGAACCTCATGAATGGAATTAGTGTCCTCCCAAAAGAGGCTCCAGGGAGCACCCCTCCACCCTGAGAGGACACACAGAAGGCCGTCTGTGTGACACAGTGTGATGCATGGGCTCTCTGTGTGCCTTGATCTTGGAATGGAATCCCCAGCCTCAGAATCAGGAGCAGTTAACTTGGCTGTTAATAAATAACCAGGTCTAAAGTATTTGGTTAGTGTAGCTCCAGCAGACTGAGACGGGCATATCAGATAAAAGCAAAGGCCGCATATTCCAGAGTTCTCCCAAGTAGCCTTAATGCCCCTTGCCTTTGATAGACATGAACGTTAAAAAGGAGAAGGCTGGGCTTCTGGTTCATTCGAGGAAAGGCTTGTCGCATTAGCATGGGGACCTGACTTTGGATTCCTCAGCACCCATGTAAAGACCTGTACTGGAAGGCATCCGTAAACCCAGCACTGGGAAGACAGAGGCAGAAGGACCCCTGGAGCTCGCTGGCCGTCAGTCTAGTTGATGGGCAGGCTCCAGGTTCAATGAGAAGACTTGTCTCTGAAAAGGTGGAGGTAAAGGTGTTCGATGGCAAGCCCGGCAACCTTAGTTTGACCCCTGGAATCCACACAGTGGCTTTCCTGAAAGATGTCCTCTGACCCAAAAGTGTGCACATGCACAAAAACAAAATAGAATACAGTGGAAGACACCTGACATTAACTCCCTGGCTTCTGCTACGCACATGCACGCACGCACGCGCACACACACACACACACACACACACACACACACACACACGGGGCCTAATGGCGTAGTTCAGCAACGGAGCACCTCTCCAGCAGGTACAAGCAGTCTTTAATCCCTGGCATGGCTAAATAAATAAATAAATGAAGCAAGCAAGCACTGGCACTTTCCACGGGTGTCAAAATATTTGGTTGACTGTTGCATAATTGTGTCTGGTTTTTCCATGTAGTCCTTATCAGTGCTGAATTAATTCTGTAGCGATGTCTATTCATCTTGAGGCGTTATTTGCTGGCAGGGACTTGAATATGCTCACCACCTTGAGTACACACCAGAATGTAGGGTCTACCTTTAAATCCTGTGGCTGGCATTGACCAGGGTGTCCAGACACAAAGGGCCCTAGGCTGTTTCCTAACTCACTAAGGGATCCTTTTTCCCTCAGCATCCTCCTTCCTTGGAAAGAAATACTTTAAGACGACTTCGGTGCCTCAGTTGCTTTGAAATGCTTCCCGTTGCTCTCTCAACTCCCCTGGCCATTCTGCTAGGTTTTCTACAGAGGCAGTAAGGCGGTGGGTGAAAAAGAATTCAGGTCGGGTTGTGAAAGGCAGGTCTAATGTTTTCCACCCCTCCCCTCCCTCTCCCTCCCTCCCAGGCCACATCAGACTCTCCATTGCTTAACAGGCAGATGATGAAAAACTGCCTAGGGTTTGGGAAGGTGGCTGAGACACGGAATGCCTGGGGAATTCTGGGCAGGTAGGTAGGTGGCCTCCAGGGTGCCCTCAGATCTCACTACCTAACTTACAGCTTCTCATTGGCTGACTGGGTCTAACACCAACTTCCCAGATTGATTTTGGGGTGGCCTCCATGTACAGTGGCAGAAAGCCCCCAAAGATAGTGGGTGTCTTTATAGTAGGCATCTGGAGCCCCTGAAACATTACGGTCCTACTGGATTAACTCAGAATCATTCAGTCCCTTTATAATTAAACTCAGTAGCCATGGGCATTAAAGTTACGGATACTGACTCTCTGCAGTTGAGCAGAATTAGAATTTCCTCATCTTGAATCTGAGCTGATCTTTTGCTAAGGTTTAAGTCTTCCTGGAAGGGCAAAGCCTGTCTCTGACTCGTCTCTTTAAGGTGTAGTTTTACTTATTCTTGCTAAAGTTGGCAAAGAGTTCCCGAGATTCAACATCTCTCTCTAACTCCTAGACACGGCTTTTCTTTTTTTTTCACTGAGTTATTTTAGTGCGTATGCTTGTGTACGTTTATCGAGATGGTCAAATCACTTGCAGGAGTCGGTTCTCTCCTTCCACCAGGTGGAGCAGGGTCGTTTAGTCCTTGACATTTCTATTTAGAATTAGTCTAGTGTTCTTGGCTGGACTGAAAGACAAGTTGGTTCATTTCTTTAAGAGTGAACAAAGCGAAACGGGTGTTCTTGACTGCTGAAGTTCGGGAAACCTTGACATCCAGGAGGAGGCGAGCAAGCCCCTGTGAATGAGCACTGTGTGCGGTTCTGGCTGCCGCCAGCACTCCCAGTCGTCACGCCCACGCTGGGGCACAGGGAGTCCCGGGGTTCGGTGCTGGAACTGGGCCCTTCGGTTCATAGATGCGGTTTCAGTGGCTGGTCAGAGTTCAGCCGGCGAGGTCAGACCCGGCCATGCAGGAGCATGGACAGGGAGGAGAGCAGGAGCCTGAGGGAAAACCGCTAGGGATTGGGGTGCAGAATGGGTGGTCGGGGCAGAGCTGGTCGGGTGGGCCTGGCGTTGAAAATGGGGTTCAGAGGGGAGGGGATGTGACCCGCTGGAGGTGGGGTGCATGGGGCTGGAGTAGGACTGGTGGAGACTCCTGGGGAGTTGGTTCACAGAGCTGAGACTTAAGGTGACCTGGGGAGGGGGGGGTTGGTCTGGGATGCAGAAGGGTGGGAATGGAGCTGGAGGCCAGCTGGCCTTCAGGGCGCCACCTCACAGCAGCAGGGAGCCGAAGAGGGGGGCGGGACCCGAGGAGGGGCGGAGACCAGGGGGCCGGGCAGCGGGCGGGACTCGGGCGGGCGGGAAGTGGGTGGGGACCCGCGGGGCTGCTGGCACTTCGGCTGAGCTGCGCGCGCCTGTGTCCGCGCGGCAGCGAGATGAGCGGGGCAGGGTCTGCGGGCACGGCCGGGGGGCTGCGGGTAGAGGGGCTGCCACCGCTACCCAAAAGCCTGAGCGGGCTGCTGCACTCGGCGGCGGGCGGCGCGGCGGGCGGCTGGCGACACCTGGAGCGGCTGTACGCGCAGAAGTCGCGCATCCAGGACGAGCTGAGCAGAGGGGGCGCGGGCGGCGGCGGGGCGCGGGCTGCGGGGACCCGGACCAAGCCCCCCAACCTGGACGCCGCGCTGGCGCTGTTGCGCAAGGAGATGGTAAGGACCAGGCGCCGTGGGTCCCGTCGGGGGACGGTCCCCTCTGGTCCCTGGAAACCCTTGCTTCCCTCTCGGACTTCCCTCGGCTGGGCATCCACGCGCAGGGCAGCCTTAGATGCTGGGGTTCTCCTGGGCCAGGCCAGGGCGCGGCGTGGTCTGCCTGCCTGGTCCCAGGAGGAACAGGCTTCCTGCGAGCCTGCGGGTCGGTGTGGACAACAGATGGATGGCCGGGCCCCTCCCCGGCTGCCCGCCAGGAATCCGATTACCGGCACGGAAGCCGTGCTCCGGCCGGGTGAAGTCCTTACGTCTGGTCTCAAACAATGGGGTTTAGTTTTTCTCCGTCCTGAGAAGTGCAGTAGGTGTTCCTGGACCAGGACGCGCGATTCAGGGTGACGCCAGGACAGGGATGTGGGCCGCAGGGAGCCCTGTCCCAGCTTGCTTCCTGTGGCAGGCCAGGTAGGGTGGGACAGAGGCATCCACTCAAGACTCTGCCCTCTTTCCTTTCTGCGAGTCCAAGATTCACGGGGCCAGGTAAACACTAAAGAAATCTAAGAAAACTTTATTCTAAGAGTAAGTTTGCCGAAGTAAGCTAGAGGAGTCGACTCCTTCAATGTCTAGTGCATTTGACATATGGTTTAGAAAATTCCTCTTCTGCCTTCTTCTTAAAGGAGCATAATCTGCCTTGCATACTAAGACTTAGTTGAATCCACTATCCCTTCTTTTGGGTTTTCGAAACAAGGTTCCTCTGTGTAGTTTTGCCTGTCCTGGAACTCACTCTGTAGACCAGGCTGGCCTTGGACTCAAAAGGTTCGGCCTGCCTCTGCCTCCTAAATGCTGGGATTAAAGGCGTGCACCATCACCGCCTGGCCACTAGACAATCTTAACACTTTTTCACCACCGGAAATGATGTCTAATTCTCCCTGAAAAGATTTCCCTGATTTCTTACGGAGCTTCAGAGTTCCAGACTACCCACTTCTCTTTATTAATAACCACTATCCCAAGTCTACCACGTCCGTCAACTTGCATTTGATTAGACACACCCATACCTAGTGTGTTTACGACCTGAACTTGGACATAACGTGAACCTCTGGGTGAAATAAGAAGACTGGCCCCCAGGTGTTTGGGTTTTTTTGTTTGTTATTTTTCTTGCATAAGATGTAGGGCACAGGGTGTCTCCTGGCTGTGAGGCTGTGCTCTAGAAACACTCTAGGGAAGCTTGGGAGCCCGGCTGCGTTCCCGAAGGGATTTCCCAGGTCCCTTCTGGTGTGACTAAGGTACAGAACCTTATAATTATGCCTTGGGCGGGAGCTCCGAAGCTCAACTGTAGGAAATGAGCGGCTGTCGGTCTGCCTGACAACAGTGTTAAAGGTAGGGTTTGGCTGCAGGCCCTGACAGGCCCTCTCAGGAACCCATCCCAGGATTTTCAGTCTGTCTCGGAGGTCAAGAGACTTACTGACCTGGGGGAACACTGAGGGTTCTGCGACAACTCATGTCTTGCTAGACAAGAATGGGCTTTCATTCCAGAGCCTTCTGCAGAATGTCTGTGTTGATCTATTTGATTTGAAGGCCTGAGGTCAAATCCGTGGTGGGGATATAATTCCTTGTCAGGGAAGACTGAATAATGCCTGAGGGAAAAAGCCCCGAATGAGCATAGAAAGAAGAAGTGTCCCCCCCCCCCCATTGAGCATACAAAGAGGGAGGTCCTCCGGATTGAGGAGAACTTCTTTTGGGGCTGCAGAGTCAGAGGTGTGAAGGCCTCAAGTGAGCAGAAAGGAGAGCAGTGAGCCTCCAGCTTGACTGACAGGAGTTTGAACAGGAGACAATTAGGAGGGTGGCCCTGTGGCTACCGGAAGCCTGGGTCACAGACAGGTCATCAGCGACTGGGGACTTTGAGATGAGCAACAGGTACTGGAGGCTCTTGGAAAATGCCCTAGGTGCACCCGGGAGGGATAGGTAGAGTGGAGGCCAGTTTATTGGCAACAAAACCCCCTAAATCACAAGAATGGCTAATGGGTCCTCAGAGCTGATAAGGAAAAAGTGAATTAAAGATGACCCAGGGTTTTTGTTTGTTTACTAATGGAGTATTTTGAAAGACAGCAATTAAAAACCACAGCCCTAAAGCTGGGCCTCATTGCTCTGACAAAAGCAAGGTAAGGGGGCATTTATCGCCGCTCCCTGTTCCAGGGTACAGTTCCTGGCGGTGAGGAAAGCATGCTGGCAGGGACATGGGGCAGCTGGTGGCATTAGTCTGACTCAGGATGCAAAGAGCTGAGTGCTGGTCCTCAGCTTGGTTTCCTCCAGCAGGGGATCCAGGGCAATGGCGAAATACTACTACACGTGGGTAGAATGGGTCTTCCCAGTTAATTAACTAACCCCAATTAACCCAGTCTAGATACTCCCTCAGAAGTTCCCAGACGTTTATCTCCTAGGTGGTTCAAGACCCTGTTGACAGTTGGTTTTAATTATTCCAAGGTCCCGTGTTACAGTTCAACACTGAGCAAATCTCCCAATATCACAGTCTAGCACACAGAGAGATCACTGCTAATAGTTTGATATGTGCAAATATTCTGAGTGCATGCAAATGTTCTTGTTGCATGTGTACCCTGATGTGGTAGGGTGCACCCGTGCTCTCTCTCACCAGGAGGGAAGCTGAGGAAGAAGGATTATAAACTTGAGGGCAGCCTTGGCTACACAACAAGACCCTATCTTAAAAAACAAACAAAAGACAAGTGCTTTCTGCACATTGTCTAAATCTTTGTGTTTTAGTTTCATCTCTGTGGCTGGGATAAAACACCCTCAAAAAGCAATTTAGGGAAGAATTTATTCATCTTGCAGTTCCAAGTCACAGCCTGTCGTTTTGGGATGTCAAAGCCATAAGCACCTAAAGCAGTTAGTTAGATCCATAGTTCCAAGCAGGGAGACTGAGGGAATGGGTGTTTGTTCGTGTTCAGCCCCGCTCCTCTGTACTTAACACAGTTCAGGATCCCCTGCGTAGGGAATGGTGTCTGCCCGCAGTGGGCTGGGCGTTATGTGTTAGTTCCCACAGCAATTAGCATTCAAGGCGATTCTCCATCAGGTCAACCTAATCTAGACAGATTTGAGACTTTCTTCTCAGGGGTTCTAGGTAGTGTCATATTGATAACTTGAACCAACCCTCACACCTTGTAAATTCTTCATGGGAGAGGCACTCTACATATGTTTTATATTATTTTTTTCCTCTTCCTCCTTCTCAATCTTTTTTGTATTGTTTTGTTTTTCAAGACAGGGTTTCCCTGGATAACAACAGTACTGGCTGTTTTGGAATTAGCACTGTAGACCAGGCTGGCCTCGAATTCACAGAGATCCACCTGCCTCTACCTCCTGAGTGCTGGGATTAAAGGACTGCGCCACCACTGCCCGGCTTCAGTTTTCTTTATTGAGACAGGGTCTCACTTTACAGCCCTTGGCTGGCCTGGAACTCAGAGAAATCTACCTGCCTCTGCCTTTTGAGTGCTGGTCTTAAAGACATTCACCACTATTCCCAGCTTATTTTCTTTGTTTATTTTTTTAAAGTCTCTTTTAGACTTATTTTTACTACTTTTAATTGAATGCATGAGTGTATGTATGCTTGAGACACGAGTGCAAGTCCCTGGGAGCCAGAAGGAGCTGGGTTTCCAGGTGGACTGAGCTATCTGACCCGGTGCTGGGAGCCAGGACAGTCTGAGTTGTTGATCTCTGCGTCGTCTCTCTCTAGGTCCTAATTATATTTTCAAAATCAGCTGCTAAGAGTTGAACTCCCACGAATTAAACCCTTGCTGGGTCTCTTGGGCTCCGCAGCTCTGTCTGATCATTGCCCTGTATGATCTGTACACGCATGCACACAAGGCATGCACACCTGCTTCACCGTGTACTCTGCAGTTTGGGAGGGTGTGTGCTGAAAGCATGTTTTGATCACTGCATTGTTGGGTCTTCAGGGAATGCATGTGGCAGTGCTGTGTCATTTTGAACCATGCTAAGGGCTCAAAGGAAAGTTTCTCACAGCCTTGTGGGTGTTAGGGGATTTGCTTGTGGGTGTTAGGGGATTTGCTTTGGAGGGTTCATGACATTCCATCAGTAGAGGAGGGTGCCGAACTGTTCAGAGGCAGAGTCGGAGGCTGGCAGAGAGCTGGTTGGAATGGAGGGCGCAAGTTTCATTTCAAAGGAGGGACACTAATAAGAGTCAGGGGCATTGTTACACAGACTGGAGAGGGCAGGAGCCCTGTGTGGGCAGAGGCTCAGTCCCTAGCTGGTTATCACTGTGCTCAGTCCCTACTAGTTAACACTGTGCTCAGTCCCTAGCTGGTTATCACTGTGCTCAGTCCCTAGCTGGTTATCACTGTGTTCAGACCCTAGCTGGTTAACACTGTGCTCAGTCCCTAGCTGGTTATCACTGTGCTCAGTCCCTAGCTGGTTAACACTGTGTTCAGACCCTAGCTGGTTATCAATGTGCTCAGACCCTAGCTGGTTAACACTGTGTTCAGACCCTAGCTGGTTAACACTGTGTTCAGATCCTAGCTGGTTATCACTGTGCTCAGACCCTAGCTGGTTAACACTGTGCTCAGACCCTAGCTGGTTATCACTGTGCTCAGACCCTAGCTGGTTAACACTGTGTTCAGATCCTAGCTGGTTATCACTGTGTTCAGACCCTAGCTGGTTATCACTCTGCTCTTCTCAGAGTTGCGGCTTCAAGGCATGTTACTTCCTGTTCTAGTAATCCCACGTCTGTGAGGTTTTGTCACTCTGAGTCCCTGGAGCCGCCAGGAAAGAGTCCATTTTGAAAGATCCAAAGGTCATGGCCAGTGCTATTGACTGTAAAAGCAATCATTAAAAACAAATCAAAACAAAAAACCATTTTATGTATTGAGGTTTTTATGAGACTGTCTTACCATATAGCCCTGCCTTGCCTAGAACTCTCTTTTAACAGTATTTATTTATTTAGATTATTATTTTTGAGGTGGGATCCGATAGCCCAGGTTCACTTT